AAATCCAACTATTTTAACATCATACTCCCCTTTGGTTTGATAAAGTAGTCTTCCACAAGGCATAAGTGGCAGGCAACGCTTAAATACTCTCTCTGAAGTATGTGCCAGCACAATCCGTTAATATACCACAAAGAAGTTAATGTTATAATAGCAACGTGTTGTTTTCAGATGGTGGGAACTCAACTTGGGATATTGTTGCTTTTCTGGTGGAAGGGAACCTCAAACTTAGGGGCATGGGAAACAGTAGCTGAGAGCCTTTTCGGAAGTCCCCGCTGTTTTTGCCACTTGCAACAATGGTTGACTTCCGTTAATAATGCTGGTGATGCTATTCTTGCAAAAGGGTTAGAAGAAGGAATACAGAATCTAATTTTCCTATTAGAACACAAGTTCCTAGAAAGACCATATTCTATTCCTTTTTTATCTTGCATCATTCTTACCACATAATTGGTGTACTTTCATCATGTAATGAATGTTATTGAGTTGTCAAATTTTAAAAATTCAAATTCAGCACTAATTTACTGAGTGGCTACTTAGTCCTGGGCCCTGAACTAGGTGCTTCCATATGTTATTTCTTTTCTTTCTTTTTTTTTTAAGTTTATTGGGGTGACAACAGTTAGTAAAGTTACATAGGTTTTCACATGTACTATTTTGTAATACATCATCTATATATCACATTGTGTGTTCACCACCCAGAGTCAGTCAGTTCTCCTTTCATCACCATATATTTAACCCCTTTTACCCTCATCTACCACTCCCCTTCCTCCTTACCCTCTGATAACCACTAAACTATTGTCTCTATATGTTATTTCATTCAATCTTAACTAAATCCTCAGGTGTTAGTTAAGATACAGGTCAAGCTACTATAAGAAAGACATCTCAAGATATAGGATTAAACAAGGTGTGAGCTTCTTTTTTTCCCAGATGATGGACCACTAAACAAATCCAAAGCTTGTTTATTGGCTCTTCCAACTTTAACATGTGGCTTCCATCTTTGGCTCCAACTTGCCTGCTCTAGCCAACAGGTAGAGGAAAAAGGCCAGGGAAGCACATCCACATTTTTAGATGCACAACCCAGGAAACATTTTACTCACGTCTTATTGGCCAGAATTTAATCACATGGTTATAACAATATGCAAAGTGTGCTGGGAAATGTAATCTCTAATTAGATGGATATGTATTCATCTAAAACTGGGGATCAATATTATTAAACAAGGGAAAATATATATTGATGGACAAGTCTCATAAAACACCTCATGCCTATGAATGAGTATCTTAATTTTTATTGAAGCTGGAAATGAACTCTAGGAAGATGCTGATTTGCTGCTCTGTTTTGTCAATGTATTCAGAATTAAGTTGGCTCTGAAAGGCTACCTCAACTTATGAGAGGTTTGGCATATAGAAGAAAAACAACAACAAAAACCAATTTCTTAATTGCCAATGGAGGAAAACACATATCAGTAACTAGAATGTTTGTGTTCCCCATTCAGGCTAAGATTTTCCCAGAATGTAGTTGCTTAGAACACCACATCACAGTATATACTAGCATATACTAAGCATCTAATCTGGGCCAGGTACCGTGCTAGACATTTTCCACTAATGATCTAATTTGATCTATATCCCCAACTTGATGAGGTAAGTATTATTTGGACCATTTTACAGATAAGAAAACTAAACAGCAGAGAGGTTATATAGCTAAGATATGGCAAGGCTGGTGTCTGAACCCAGGTCTATTTGATACCAGAGCAAGTGCTTTTTCCGCTATGCTCTACTGCTTTTGTGGGAGTTTTTCTAGTAAGCTTCAAGATATCCTTGGTGATATTTACACTGCCTTTGCCTCTTTGTACAGATTTCTGCTATAGCATTTGCTGCAGTAGACAGTCTTATGGTTGAAGTCTATCTTTTCCAGGCTCCATCCATCTCCTCATGTCTTAGTCATTTTACAAAATTGAGGCCAGCACAGGGCCCGGCATTTGTTACATGATTAAACAAGTGATTAAATGAGTAAGTAAATTCCCCTTTCACCTGCAGTTAAACCAGACTCTTTACTGAACCCCTACCCCATATCATCAATTCTTGCCTTCAACATTTAGCCCACTCCAAATTTTATCACATTAATATCTTATTCTAAATTCTTGATTTCCAACTCTAATTCCAGGGACATTCAAATATATTGCCAACTGATTCTGAAACAACATTTTATACACTGGAAAGATCTTCTATGGTTGATTTTTACTTCAACCTAACCTCAGTCTATCTTGATGCCTTGTCAATGTGTTAGTTTTGTTTCATCCTCAGAATTGATGAAAAAAAAAAACCTATTTCCCATTTCAAGTTTACTAAAAAAATGAGCCCTCAAGATTCTGGGGAAAGGGAGTGATGCCAGCTCCAAACTGAGGTCATGATTTTGTTAAAGAAGATGTTGCTAATCATCTCAATGCTGATGCAAACTCCCTGCAATGATGCTCAACACAGCCTGGGTGGGTCTGGTCTCATTCTCCAGCCACAGCTCTGTGAAGGAAGGAGCTGGAGACCAGAAGGAGCCCTTTAAAAGGCCTGGTTCCTTCACCAGTGACACAAATGATGGAGTATGTAAGTAGAACTAATCAAATCAAATCAAATGTGAAGTTGTCTTAAAAATTCCATGCAAATTTTGCATTTGATCACAGTATATTCCAAGTTGTTAAATATACATATTCATATAAAATATAAAAAGTATAAAAGTACATACGAGGTGTGATAAAAAGCTATGGTGAATGCTGCTGCTGAGTGCCGTTCAAAAGAAAGGCAGGAATCTTCAATATGGGAAGCGGCATGTCGAACCTTAGTAACTGTGTGACAAGTTTCAACTTGTTGGGTGCAGTCAGTCGGGTGTGAGCTACAGTTGAGAGAAGGTGTATTCTAAAGTGTGCCATAAATCATGGATCATGAACAATGCTAAAATTTTGCTTCAAAGTGCAAAAAAGTGCTAAAGAAACACACAAAATGTTTAAATTAGTTAATGGCGATGCTGCAGTGACCATGATCTGGTGACTTCTGGCTCTTCCCAAAAGTCAAAATGACCATGAAAGAAAAACGTTTTGAATAGATTTAGAACACTGAGGCAGCTATGACAGCACAACTAAAGACACTCACAAAAGAGGACTTCCAGAACTGCTTCAGAAAGTGGCAAGAATGATGGGATTGAGTGTGTTTGAAGCAAGGGGGAGTATTTTGAGGATTAATGGCCACATGTCTTTTACAATAATAATTTCTTAAAATTTAAAAATATTCACTGTATTTTTTTTTATCACACCTCATGTGGAGCCCTGGAGAAAGGGGTTTGCTCTCTTGGGGGTACCCATTCCCTAACAGGAGGTACTCAGGGCTGGGTGATGTCTGACATCCTCTCTAGATCCAAGGTTCTTTTATGAAGAGTCAGGAATAAGTAATGTCAGAATCAATACAGGCAAATATATTTGAATCTAAGAGCATATAAACGATTTTTATTTTTCAAAACCCTAACCAAACAAAACCCTTCTTCAGACCAGATTCATTCGCCAACTGGTCGTTCTCAAGCTATGAGGGCTTAGGAATCTATATTTTCAGAAAAGTCCTCAGGGAACTCTTACGATCAGGCAATTGGAAGCCCCGAGATAGCATAGGCATGAATTCTTCATAAACTTTAAAACCTGTTACAAATGTGAGCCATTATTGTGGGTAAGGATTATAATCCCTCTTGTCTTTGCCACACAAGATGGTTTAAATGAAAGAATGTGTGTTGCTTTGTGACGTTCAGGAACTAAAGTGCTCAGATCTGCCGTCATGGAGGGGGCTGCAAATCTCTCTCCTCTCGATCCTTGCAGGGGTGGACCAGGTAACTAGAGGTTCTATAAACTCTATAGCCCTGGAGAGAGGCACAGATGGCTTGGAAAAGATCCTCTCCACTTCTTCCGTCTTCCTTCAGTAGTTCAGACCCAGGGCCGTGAGCTATCCTCATGCAGAACATCAAGCGCCTCTCTCTCTTTCTTCATTTATTCATTCGTAGGCCTCTTCTGTCAAAAGACAGATCTGACAAAGAAATGGTCACAGATTCCAGTCAAACCTTAATAAGAAGGGCTGTCCCTCCTGCATCCCTGGGTCTCTCCTGGCCCCAGCCCAGACACCCAGGGCCCCGTGTGTGGTGTTGTTTTACTAGGCCACTGCTTTCCAAGAGAGCCCATTTCTTGAACCTCTCCTGACTTGCTTCCCTATATCAAATGCATTGGTCCAGGGTTTTGTTCTTTTGGAGTCCTAGTGTGGCGAATTAATATGATAAATTATGTTTAAGGCACTAAAGTAAGAGTTTCCTGAAAGCAGATTCAGGCTTTATTCATTTCTATGCCTCTGTCCCTAGTTCTGAGTCACATTTGAAGGGTTGAGATGGAACTAATTAAAACTAAATGTGGAAAGGTGGCAGGGCTTTCCAACATACTGGCATTTCAATAGCTCCCTTTATTCATTCAACAAGTGTTTGAATGCTTACTATGTGCAGGGTATATTCTAAGAAGCAATATAGGGCAGTGGCTTTCAAACTTGAGTAAACTTCAGCATCACTCAGAGGGCTTGTTAAAAGGCAAAGTTCTGAATCCTAGATTCTGATTCAGGAGGTCTGGCTGGGTCCTGGGAATTGGCTTTTCTAAACAGTTCCTAAGTAAGGCTGATGTTGCTGATCTGGGAGCCACACTTTGAGAACCATTGGTATAGGGCATGGCAGAGACCAAGTCCCGGACCTCGCAGGACGCAGTCTTGGGTGGTTACACCAAAGAGACGAACCGTGGAGCTGTCAGTCATCTTGGCAGGTCAGCGGAAAAGGCATTTCAAGAGGCACCTAAGCCCCCTAAGCTCTGTCTGAGCCTGCCATCCCCTTAGTCATCTACAAACTGAGAGGTCCGATGTGCTGCGCCCCTCCACTCCCCGGGGCAGCGGTTTAGGGAGCGGGCGGGAGGCCGGGGCCCTGACTCCTCCCCTCCGGTTCGGGCCCCGCGAGCGGAGGGCGCGCACGGGAAGGCTCCGGGGTCCAGGGGATCGTTCGGGACAGGCGCCTGGGGGAGGAAAGCAGAGGAAGTTGCCCTCCCTCTTTGCGGCCCCGCCTACGCTGGCTCTCTGCTGGCGGCCGGGGCGGTGGCGGCTGCGGCTGCGGCGCGGGGCGGGGCGGGGCTCCGCGACCCCCGTCCCTCCCGGCCGCCTCCGCTCCCTCGGTCGCAGACGCAGCCGCCCGCCTGGCTCGGCCTCGCGGCGCGGGGGTTCGGCGCCACCGCAGTCCCGGCCGGCCCGCGAGCCATGGCCCAGCCCGGCGAGGAGGCTCTGCCCGGGCCTGAGACTGCGGTGCAGATCCGCGTCGCCATCCAGGAGGCCGAGGACACGGAGGAGCTGGAGGACGAGGAGGAGGGCGCGGAGGCGCAGCGCGTGGGGGACCCGGCTCGGTATCTCAGCCCGGGCTGGGGCAGCGCCAGCGAGGAGGAGCCGAGCCGCGGGCACAGGTAGGCGCGGCAGCGCGCCGGGGCCGAGTGGGAGTCGCCGACCCCGGAGTCCAGGCGAACGGGAGCTCGGGGACGAGAACTCAGCGGGCGGAGGGCTTTGAGGCAGCCCCGCCGCCGGGTCACCGCTCAGGGCGGTCGCACGGTGTCAGAACCGGCTTGTGTCGGTCGTTGGTGATCCAGTCTGCAGCTTTGTAACCCGACCAAGGGGCTGGCGGTGGGGTTCTGAGGGGCCTGGACGTGGACATGCTCCGGGACCCGGGAGGAAGCCCTTCCTGGGCCATCCTCGTCCTGTCCTCCCCAGGAGAAGCCCCTCCTGTGAGCTCACCCGAAGACCCTCCAAAAGCACAGCCCAGCTCGGGCTCTTCACCTCCGAGGCTGCTCCCCCCAGAAATCACCCCCCGGGAGAGGTCTCACCTAGACCTCACTGCCCTTTCTACTTATCCAAATGGCTTCGCTCAGTCTCTGGGTGGGGGCAGGCCAGGCACAGCTGACAGTTGCTGCTGGGGGATCCCAGGAGGGGTGATTTCATGGTGTAAAGACTCTCCTTGCCCTGACTTGGAATCAGTTCCAGGCTTGCTGCCTGCATCCTCCCCTGCTGGGGGATTCCCATTTTCAAGCAGCCTTCTCCATCCAGTTTCTAGGTTTGCATCATCAGCTTGCTGCCTTGGCCTTGGGTTCCTGGATGATGGGTTGACTGGAGCTGGTATGGCACAAGAAGTCACCTGCCTCACCTTGCCTCTGGGCTTTGAGCTTGGTCATCAGCTGGAGATTTTAGTCTGTGTCCACTGAGGCCCAGGCCTTTCAGGACTATGTTTTGTTTCTGCTGTTGAAAGGAGATACAGTATGGATTATACATGGGGATGAGAGTAGGGCAATGGCAGAACTTGCAAATTCTGGGAAAGGCCAATAGGCACGTATGAAGAGCCCTGTTCTGGGACCCTGCACATGCTTTTAGCTGTCTGGGCTCTGCAGGATTATTCTGTGGCAGACATATATCCTCTTCATTGGGAGAATACGCAACTCAGGGCATAAGGAGACTGGGGCCAGAGCCATTCCCCATCACTGGCTGACACTTTCCCAATGGAAAGGGTCTGGCTTTAGGGACCCAGAGATTCAGGGCAGTTCAGTGGAGGCAGAGGTATTCCAGGAGGAAAATCCGGCTCAACAGTTTAGACTAAGAAAGCTGGGCCACAGCAGATGACACGAGATATATTAGCACTTTATATACTGAAAAACCTCATTCATTCATTCAGCTCTACCAAATATTGAGAGTATATAAATAATGAATCCATAGTCACTGACATCTCACAGTCTTGAGGAGAAGGCAGCCAGGAGAAAGCAGCCACTTAGATAATTTCAGAGGTCATGTATAATAGCCTCAAGTGGTTTATGCTTCTGACTTTTTCTTTTTTTTGCCTGTAACTGACAAAAAGCTGTCCCCTGTCCTGGAGGCTAAGTTTTGAAACTGTACCATTACCAGGGATTAAAGCTCTACTTATTTCTTGGGCCTGGAAAGATCCCTTATGAGATCTAGGAGAACGTGATCCTTGGTTCCGGTAGGCCTCTTGTCCTCACCACCCCTGCACCCCACTCTTTCCCTCCAGAGCCACCCTTCTTTCTCAGTTCCAGTGGTTTTGAGTCTCATGGAGCATTCAGTCTGAAGCATTTCCTACTGTCCACTGGCATAGAGTTGACCCCAGAAAATCCCTGGGGCTCTTTAGGGTAGTGGAGCCAACACAGTCCAGAGGGCAGACATCCAGAGCACAAGGAGATCCAGCCAAGAACAGGATTCACAATGTCCCCTGTTTGGGCCCAGCCTGGCACGGGTGCAGCCACCATCCTGAGTGAACACTTCTGGGCTCCCAGAACCTGCAGGAGAAGAATGCCCAGGTTTCTAAATCTGCTGGGTGAGCATGGCGCCCACCCACATCATCCCCTCAGCCCATTGCTTCTTTCCCTGGCTGTCCTACCAGTTCATACTCCCACAGAACCGAGCCCCGCTAGGTCCCTGAACACAGGGTGCAGTTTGTGTCCACATGCCTTTGCACTTGAACTTCTGAGTCCCTCTGACTGACTGATTGCTAGTCACCTGAAAACTTCACTGCCTCTTCCCCACCACCCCCTTCCTACGCCAAAGCTGCATTTGTTTCCTCTCCGTTGTGTTGCTGTAGCCTTCTGTCCATTTTATACCTAGCACTTACCCACAATTGTAATTCTAGAGGTCTGTGTGCTTCACCAATGTATGAACCCCGGGAATTCGGGGTCTGCATTGCCCTTTTCTCATTGTATCCTCAGCACCCGGCACGTAGTGGGTGCTGTATAAATATTTGTCGAATGAATGCATGTCTCTATCATCACACTCACTCCATGGAGTTAAAATATCTGTGTTTCTCCTCCACTAGACTGTGAAATCCTTGAAGGCGGCAATCTTGCCTAAATCCTTTCTATATCTCCAGTACCCAGCCCAATACCTGGTTTATACCTGGGGGAAAGGGATAAATGGAAATAAGAAAAAATCGTTGTAACCTCCAAATGTCCATTAGTCTTCTCACATCTTGTTCACTAAAAAGGTGTCTTTCTTTTCAGTCTTACCCTTTCAACATAAAAATTTCAAACATAACATGTGAAAGAGTAGTACTGTTAGCATTCAAATTAGATTCAACAATTGTTAATATTTTGCCATATTTGTTTGATGGACATATAATGTGTATGGTTTTCCCTGAACCATTTGAAAGTATCTTGTACGTAAGACACCCTAAGTACTTCATTTTGTAATACTTCATTCATGTTGACATTCTCCTATAAAACCGTAACTCTATTATTGCAATTTAAAAAATTAACAATAATGTCCTTAAATAATCCGATAGCCAAGTCCCACATTCAGGTTTCTCACAATTGTCCTGTACTGTGTTTTACAACTAATTCTTTTCCCCCATAAACCAGAATCCAATCCAGGTAGAGGCATTTGCCTGTTGTATCTCTTTAGAATCTTTTAATCTAGAACATTACCTTTTTTTTAATGCTTTGCTATCTTGGAACTAAGAAGCCAGATGTCTTTTTTTTTAAGATTTTTTAAATTGGGGAATTGTGGGGGAGGGGAAGAGCGTTGGGGAATTGGGGAAGGGGAACAGACAAGTTGCTGTCCTTTTGTTCTTCAGTCTAATTGTGGAGGACACTGTTTCACTGGCCGATGTTGATATTGTGATCATTGCGCTCTTCCCGACTGAGGCAGTCGGTCGCCGACCATTGGACGGCCGCTCATGGTGGCTCATGGCAGCTCATGGTAGCCCAGCTTCAGGTCGAGCTGTTGTTCACCATCTTAGCTGCAGAGGGCACAGCATCACTGGCCCATGTTAGAACCAAACCGGTGGCCCTGCTGCTCAGAACTTACACTTCCAAGCCAATTCTTAACCAACTGAGCCACTCAGCTGGCCCAAGAAGCCAGATGTCTTATTGGATGTTACACACAGTTTGAGTTGATCTGGTTATGTTCTTATCATCTAGTTTACCTTATTCCTTTGTCCCTGTTTAGAGCTACAGGCTTGATTAGATTTAGATTAAACATTTTCTCATGAGCACTTCATTGGTGATGCCAGGAACTTTTCATTGCATCACCTGAGGCAGCATCCACCATTAGTGATGTTAAATTTGACCCCTTGATTAAGGTGATCTTACCATTGCAATTAGCAAGTAATATGTGTGGGCTTCTTGTGAATATTCTTTCACCAGCAACCTTTCCCATAATTGTTTTAGCATCTGCTGATGATCTTTGCTTGAGTCAGTTCATTGGGGATTCCAAATAGGTGGTTTTGTAATTTTATCATTCTTTGTATGTTTATTAGCTGGCATTCCTCTATAAAAGAGAGCTTTGCCTCATCAACAAGAGTTCCTCCTAATGAGGCAAGTGGAAATGGTTAATTATTTTCCCTTTCTTTGAGTACTTCCTTGCTTTCTGATACTAGATATTCTAGGCCTAATTTGTACGTTTCCTACTTCAGTCATGAGATCTAGCCATTTCCACAGAAATCCCTGTTTTTTTCAAATACTAGTGGGAAGGTATTTAGAAACCAAGACCTGGAATTAAGGGTGCTGATTTCTACTGGGGTATCATTTCTTTTAGGCCCTTTCAATAGACAGAGCTAAGAAATATGTTTTCTAAAAAAAAAATTATGTTGATAATTCCAATAAAAATTTAATATTATAGGGCTTTTGTTTTACTTCTTTTATTTTTCACACTGGAAATATTGATTCCTAATAACATGAACTTATTTACTTGTTTGCTTTGTCTTAGAATGTATAAAAATTACTATAATACTAAATATTAGTACAAATAATAAAACCACTGAGCACACCTGCTTTTCATTTAACAAACAGAACCATCTAAGTTTCTTTCTCTCCATGATGTTTAGAACATTGCACAAGCTATCATTTCCCTGTTCTGGATGATGATAATGAAAGCCTCCATTTATCAATGCCAGTTTTGTGCCATACATGGAACTAAGTACTTTGTATACTTTACCTGTGCTCCACACCATGAACCATTCTTTAGATGGGCAGAGACAGCTGCTAGTTGTACTCCTTCTCCAGACTTTAGGAAATACACCAGAATGTCATGTCAGAAGACAGGTCACCATCTCTGTCATAAATATGTAATGGGCCACACAGAACACAGGATGTGGCCTCTTACTAGTGCATCCAAATGTAGTTGTTCCCAAGATGTTTCTTCCAAAGTTGGAAACATACTTGTATATGTTTTCTGTCTCTATGGAGAACATTTATCTTTTGAATATGCCCTCATATTTTTATATTGCATTATCAGTTTGGTTGCCTTTTTGAACCTTTACAGAGTCATTATCTTTTCCTAGCAGCGAGGCAAAAGAAACTTCACATAGATTCTGGTACTCTAGTGTTTTTCATAAGTGGTATTTTCTCTTTTCTGTTCAATATCCTTCTTGTTGCTGTCCAGCATTTTCCTGGTCTTGGTGGCCAAAGCATCATAT